AAGAGTTTGTGATCTCAAGGTTCTCTGGGTTGAGCTGGGGTCTTTTTGTACTTAGCAAGAGCTCCTTGAACCAAGGGAGTCTCATACGAAGTTCACTGATACTTATTTGGTTGGTTAGGTTTAAATCACTTAAAAGCCCAAGTCATGGGTTCAATTCCATAATGACTCAGTCCGTAGTGGTGGTTAGAAACTGCCTTAGAAATACAGCCCAATGTCTCTTGGAAACATGCTTCTTGATACAAGACAGAGCGTGGCTTCAGGAAGTCAAGTACCCGCCCCGTGCAGGAAGGACTACATGGACAGAAACTTCTCACCGTGGAGCGTGGTGACAGGTTCAAGACTACGTAAACATTGCAAGACGCTCTGAGTATCGTAGCTTTATTTTCAAGGTGGGGGTTGGGGTCCACAGCGGGTCATAAGATCAATGAGCAGTTTCCTTTGAGCAAAATAGAATAGAAAAGATCGTCCGGTAGAGACGAAGGCCTTGTGTACTTGTTCAGGTGTGTGTGCACGTGCGCGTAGATGTAAAAATCCCGCTCTGCGGAGGATTGGGGTTGAGACTGAGAGCCCCCAGTGTGGTCCGTAAGCAGTAGGTTGCTCACGCTTCTCTGAAAGGTGGTTAGAATCTTAGATTCATTCTAAGAGGGACGCTTGGCTTGTGCGGGGCTCGTGCAGAGACCAGCACGACCCTGGCCGTTCCCCATTTCCGCCCCGGGACAGGAGGCAGAGGCAGTGCCTGACTGTCGGTGAAGCCAGTGAAGTTAGTGCAGCGGCAGTCAGGTGAGGGAACCCGGGCCGCCGTGACCGGCTGCCAGCTTTGGAAGCATCGGGTGCGTGTAAACTGGGGTCTTTTTTTTTTTTTTTTTTTTAATGTTTATTTGTTTTCAGGAGAGCACAAGCCGGGAGGAGCAGGGAGAGAGGGAGACACAGACTCCGAAGCAGGCTCCAGGCCTTGAGCTGGCAGCACGGAGCCGGACTCGGGGCTCGAACTCACAAACCGCGAGATCATGACCTGAGCCAAAGTCCAACGCTTAACCTACTGAGCCACCCAGGCGCCCTCAACACTTTTTTTTTTTTTAACATTCATTTATTTTTGAGAAAGAAACAGAGTGCGAGTGGGGGCGGGGCAGAGAGAGAGGGAGACACAGAATCCAAAGCCGGGCACAGAGCCCGACACGGGACTCGAACTCACGACCTATGAGATCATGACCTGAGCTGAGGTCCGATGCTTAACTGGCTGAACCCCCCAGGCGCCCCTGTAAACTGCATTCTTAAGTTGCTGATGATAACCAGTGACGGTCAGTCTTGTCATAGATACAGGGTAGCCCGTGCCCAAACCGGCGGGGGTGGGGGGCAGCAGGGCCGGGAGACGCCTTCCAGGTGCCCTTGAGGCGGTGCTTGCTTCTGGAAGCTTCCAAGCTTCCCGTTTTCTTCCCCGAGCACCCTGTGGGCTCACTCTGTAGTTGGGCCAGCCACGTGGCATGCCACAGACGCCATGAAGGAGACTGTTTTGCAAATCCTTGGCAAAGTGTGTGGAGAACAGAAATCCCCACGAACAGATAGCCCAAACCTGTGAGTCGGGCCTAACAAACATTCTCAAAACACACGGAGAGAAAAGAGAACGCCGGCAAGGACCACGTGATCCAAACCCTAATGTCCAAGTACGAGCCCCCCTCCCCCCCCAGCCCCCCACCAGGGCCCTAGGCTGGACGCACAGGCTCACCTGTCCTTCTGGGCAGCCTTCCTTCCAGGAAACTCACCAAGAAATAGTAGTCTCACTCCACTTAATCACTGAATGCGAGCAAGGAAGCATCGCCTTCATTGAAGACACTCAGCAGTTCTGGAAGCTTTTTGCTGCTACGAGGCTGAAGAGGGTCGCGGGGACCGTCGTAGTCTCAAGCACAGCTCTCCCGCAGGATCGCCTCTCCGTCACTTCCCTCCTGAACTGGAATCCCCGGGGCCTGTGACGCACGGGCTCAGCCCGCGTCTGCTGCGTCGCCCCCCCAGCGAGGGCTCTGGACCCTGGTCCTCACCCCAGCTCAGTCCCGGTTTATCAGATACACCGCCCCCCACGCCCCCGCCCGTGGGGCCTGTGGCCTCAGGACGGCTGCAGGGAGAAGCCTTGGCCAGCGTGCCAGGCACGCACATAACCCTGTGCCCGGTGCCCGCCACATGCTGCGTCAGTCTTTCCTGTCTGAGAGAATGAAGGCTCCTGGGAAAATGCTCCACGGCCTTATGCCCACGTCGCAATTATCCTGAAACCCCGGATCCCTGGCGGTGAGCACAGAGTGGTCGCACCCGAGGTTCTTTATTTACACCAGGAAGTGGACCACTCGCACGAGTGCTTGAGGGCGGTGTCACCAGTGGATCTGTGGACGCAGGGTGTGGCCAGGAGGTCGTGGGGAGGGGGATTCTGCTCACTCGCGGAGAGACCTGTCCCAGAACAATAGGGCGTGAGGTTTCTTTGCCCACAGAGGGGCCCTTTGTTTTCTGTGGGTGAATTCCCCCTTACCCTACTCTCATATGCAGACCGGTCAGCGTCCCGGGAGGAATTACAGTGGTACCACGACGGGTAGCCCGCGGGATGGGTACTCGGTGCCCTGCTGGCTTAGGAGCAGGGACCGCAGGGAACAGGGTGGAGGGGACCATACGGGGCTCAGGTTACAGCGTATCGTGTTCAGGACCCATTGCTGACTGTCCCCCCCCCAGGGAGTGTGGCTTCTGGACGGCATGAGCCCAGCTTCTGAGCCTCGTCAAGGCCCTGGAGTCCGGTGCTGGTGCCTTCCCAGGCCCCCTGTGCTCCGGCAGAGGGCAGGACAGCTCTGCCGTGGGTCTGTCCTCCACTCCGCACAGAGGGAGCCACATGCCCTTGTGTTCAGGGTCCACTTGTCCTTCACGTTTCAGGGAGGGATGGGGTGAGGGGAGGCAGACAGCAAGGTGGCCACAAACGGGCTGGTGACCGCGGCACCTCATCTCTGGACACTGACGGCCGGCTGTGCGGACGGCTGGGCCCGACCACGTGTCCAGCCCCGGGCCAGCCCGTGGGCGTGGGATTCTTCCCGTGTGCTGCTATGCCCACCTCGTGGGTTACCCTGGAGCGGGCACAGGATGGACAGAGCGCATGCACGGGGGACGGACGGCCATGCAGGGTCCAGAGAGGCGGGACAAAGCGTGCTCAGCCTCCTGCCCTTGTCCCCGGAGTCCGCTGCCCATGACTCGCCAGCCACAGGCGGGGATGACACGGGATCGCTCACGGTTGCATTCCCAATGGCAAAGTCAGGATTTCCCACCGCCAGGAGCACGACGAATCCGAGTGGCCATGACCCCGAACGTGGGGAGTAGTAACTAATAAGGTGAATGGCTTATCTTTTTTCCTGGATGACACAGACCATTGTGAGCATCTGATCTTCTGGCCGAGGAGTTTTTTGGTGTCAGGAAAACTCACAGAATTTTGTTGCCGGGGGATTTTAGAGGGAGCTGAGCCCCAGGCAGTGGGGATGCGGGCTGGGTCTTGGCGTGCCCCTGGGGTTCTGCGCAGGACGGAGAGTTCCCTTGCCGGACGCGTAGAAAGCAGTTCTTTCTAAGTGCTGGGCCACCAAACGGTTCCTCCTTCAGGTCTGCGCAGAGGGGATGTGCTTTATACCTGGCTGGAATCTGGCTGCGTTTTGTTTCAACTGAGTATCTTTTTTCTGTTTTTAGTGTCTGTTTATTTATTTTGAGAGAGAGAGAGAGAGAGAGAGAGAGAGAGGGAGAGAGAAAACCCCAAGCAGGCCCTGCACGGAGCCCCACGTGGGGCTCGAACCCAGAAACTGTGAGATCAGGACTTGAGCCGAAACCAAGAGTCTGGTGCTTAAATGACTGAGCCCCCCCAGGCGCCCTCTGAGTATCTTCACAACGGGAACTGCCAGTCCTGTGGAAGATCTATGGGGTCTCGTCAGTGGCCCTGACATAGGGCCCTCCAGCACCTCGACACAGACGGGCTCAGCGCCAGGGGCGGGAAGCTCCTCCGTGCCGTGCATGACTCAGGGGAGGCCGCACGGGAAGTCCTTTGACACTTGTTGGGCTCGATGACACTCTAGCAGCCGACTCAGCGCTGACTCATCACGGCATCCTTCACTCAGTTCACTTATTTGCAATTTGGCAAAAGTTGGAAAGTATAATGGCTTCTATTTTTAAGTGTGCAGGCAGGAATATTGGACGCAGAACTGTTAAGTCCTGGCGTCTCTCTCTAGCCTTTGGAGACTGGGAGAATTCAAAAAGAGAAAGGAAAGTTTGTCATTCATGTGTGTGCGGGGATTCTGATGAGGAGAAAAACTAAATATTCTTCTAAATATGTATTTTTTGAATTTGCAAACGATATGGAAATATACATAATCACATAGTAATTTTATTCTAAGCTAATCATGTGGAAGGTTTGTGAAATGCAATCCTGTAGGCAAGCGATTACATCACGAAGTTATCGTCACCTCTGAGTCTACGTGGGGACTGCAGAGCCAAGAATCAGGTAGAATCCTTTCCGGGACTGTTTTCCTGATTTCTATTTGTCATGATCTTTGCTTTTATTTAATGTCTATTTATCTATTTTGAGGGGGGGGGAGGGAGGGAGGGAGAGAGAAAGAGAGAGAGAATGAGCTGGGAAGGGGCCGAGAAAGGGACACAGAGAGACTCCCAAGCAGCTCAGAACCTGACATGGGGCTGCATCTCACAAACCGTGGGATCATGACCGGAGCAGAAATCAAGAGCCGGACGCCTGACTGAGCTGCCCAGGCGCCCCCCGCCGTGCCCCCCCCCCCAGACCCTTGTTTTTCGTCTGTAAGTGACTGACTTCGTGTGGAAATTAAACATCTTTCTATACTGATTCTTCCCTCCTCCTCCACATTAAAAAAATGATTTAGTTTGGATTGATTGAAAAATACCCTTGAAAAAAATTTCTAAACATGTATAAAAAAATAATGGCACAATCAAAATTAGCACTTGACATGGGCACTACTTGGACCCACCTGGAAGCTGACCAAGGCGGAGCGGGTGTGACAACTGACAGCAGGCTTTATGGCCACCGCGTCTGCCACGTCCATCCTGGACACGTAATGGTAACGGGTGATGCGAACTGTGATAATGACCACGGAGATTTATTTGCAGAATAAGTTATTATTTCTCAGGAGCCGGACAGCAAGTATTAACACGTGAGCTGCTGTCCGCGGGCTCTCCACAAGAAAGGTCGGCCTTTTGTGGCCCGAGAGGCCGTCCTGAGACGCAGGATTAAGGGGGTGCGGGGGCCGGGGGGGCATCGGCCCGACTCTGAGGCCCCGATGTGTGGCCAGACTGGCTCCTGTGTTTTTACAGGGTTGAGTACCGTCTGCAGGAGGGTGGTGGCCCACATCGGCGGCAGTCTCCCCCCCCACCCCAGCCCCCTTCCCTCTCTTTCTTAATTCCTTCTTTCTGTGTACGTTCACCGTACATTTACTTCCCCAGAAACCTTCTGCAGCTCAGGCGTGGCCACATGACCCAGTTCAAGTCCACGAAGCAAAAATGGGAAATCGCTGTGGGGTGTGTGGTGGGCGGGAGGAGAGGGATTCTGAGAAAGGTTCACTTCCCTGATTATAATCCAAAGGAAACCAAAGACCTCTGTCTTGTTTTCCTGCTCTGTCCCTTCCTCTCTGCAGACAGCCGTGGGCGGAGGCTCTGCTGCCCCGGGGCGCGGGGGTTGTAATGTCAGATGGACAAGTCCAGGACGCAGAGCCCGCAGAGGGAGGGTGAGAAACGGGACGGCGCAGAGAACGAGGCCCTCGGCCCGTGCGCGCGCGGACCTTCCCCACTGACAGCTCGCCCGGCTCTTCGTCATGAACTCCCCTTACGGGGCATCAGAAGTGGTCCTAAGTGACCTAACAGGACACCCAGAGACAGGACCGGCCGCGAACCCCTGCCGATGTCCAAAGGGCATTCATGGCAACCAGAGGAGAACACCCGCGTCCCCTCCAGCGCTCCAGTGCCGCGGGCCGCACCTCGTCGCAGGTTCTCCAGCAAATACTTCTGACCCAATGAGCGAACCGGTTCGTCACCGCGTTCCTATTGTCCCTGGAAACATCTCTATTTGAAGTCCATGACCATCCTCACGCGGGAGGAATCCTGTCCTTGGCCAAGGCCAACGCGTTTCACGGGAAGACGGGCTGGGGCGTCACAGGTGTGAGGACGCGGGGATATTTGGACGTCCATCTCCCGTCGCTCGGATCGTCACCTCTGCCCCGACAGTTCAGCGCATTGGGGCCTGTCCTCGCTCCCCGCCTCGCGGTGGGGAGGACGCGAGAGAGCAAGGGCCCTTCTCCCTCCCACGTGGTAGCTTTTCGGTAGAAGCCTGGCAGTGGCCGTTCAGTGGTGCCGACGTGGGGCTTCCCCGTCTCTCGAAGATCGGCTTCCTCAGCCGCCGCTTGGGCTGCTGGCGGCCAGGCGTGGGCGGTGGGAAGGTGGCGACCTGCTCCGAGGTGTCTCCAGCCACCCCCGGGGTCCGCCCGGACTCCGGGGGAGTAAGAGGCTTTGCGGCAGGTGCGCCTTCCTCATTCTGTTCCGGTCTCTCGTCTTCGGCCCTGAAGCGTCTGCCCGTGGGGATCCACACTCATCCCCCGCCCCGGCCCGAGACTCCGTCCCTCCTGCTCAGGCAGCCGCTGTCTGATGTCTGACTCGCCCCCTGACCCCAGGAGCCCATCCCGGCGCCCAGGAGGCTGCGGCCAGCTCCCTCAGCCCTTCCCGGACACGTGGCGGCAGGCCCACCCCAAACCTCTGCCTCCCACTGTATCGTGTCCGGCTCTCAGGGCACAGTCTCTGCCCTGCACCCACCGGGCTCTGGCCTTTGGCGTTTCCAAGGAAGCCTTTGGGGGGCAAGCAATCCTTCCCTTTCTCAAGGGCGCGGCTCTTGCGGCTGAAGCCCGGCTCCCGGATCCAGCAGGCTCCGTTTCGTAACAAGGTTGTTTGGCAAGTGACAGCTGGGCACTGGCTTCTTGCTTCCAGGTCCATCTGTCCCCACCCCGAGGCCGTGGCCGCCTCGACTTGGGAGATAATTCACAGGCACCAAAACTACTGTGGGCTAAAGAAAATAACAATACATTGGGAGTGTTTCACACAACGTCACCCCAGCGCACGAGCTCTTGTAAATCCCCAGGAAAGACAAGAGGCTGGGAAGCCGGGTCCTCAACTCTAGGAAGCAGATACCGAGAGAATTGTAAGCACTCAGATGGCAACACGGAGATCCAGAGGCTGGAGGGCTGAGCACGTGGACAAGGACCATTTCTCGGTATTGATGACAATATACGTCTCTATGTAAAATGATCTCCCCACATGTCAATATATATCACTAATAATCTCTATGTAATATCAACATGTACGTATCACTAATAATCTCTAGGAAGCCCTGTGGCTCTTTTTGTCACGAGCCCTGTAAAGTCTGGAGCCCAAGGTCCCCCGGCAGCCGGACAAAAGGCTGTGTGATGTTTCGTAGAATGACTGCAGAGACTGATGACTGTGCTCAATCAATCAATCAATCAATCATTTCGTCCATTCATACGACACCTATGTCCCCAGCACCGAGTTCTTTGTAAGGCACTGGCCCCTCTGTGCCCGAGGACTAAGTGGAAAAACCAAGGTGAAATGTTACTGAGGATCCACATCAAACATGAATCCTTTAAAATGACTAATTGTTAATTCTAAACCAGGAGGTATTTTGAAGAGTGGTCTAAGGAAGCTATCGGATTTCATAGTATAAAGTAATGAGGAAAGCAGAGAGACCCTGCAGAAATGTTTTCAGAGTTCAAGACTTAAACCCTTTAAAATCATTTTTAAAGATAAAATTTTATTTTATGGAAATCCTAAGCCATGTTACTACAAACCCAGTTCAACCGACTGCATATAAAACTCCATCACCTTGCCTCAAGGTAAGAAAATAAAGTTTACTGCTATTGAATCATACTAAAATATTCATCTGTCAGGACTTTGTCAACCATGGTTTTGATGGCATTTAAATTGAATTTAATATAAATTTAAAGGCATCTCCATTTGATGTGATGAATAAAATGGGGCCACCATCAACTTCAATTTTAATACTTTAAATGTAGGCATTTCCAGCTGCCTTGGTGCATCTATACTCAGGACTTACTCGTTATAATATATGTTTTTAAACATTTTGTTATTTTAAATTTGCAAATAATACAGAAGCCAGAGGTGGAATCCCAACTTGGATATCGCGGCCCCGAATAGGTTCTAGAAACCAGTGCCAAGCCGTCCCAGCTCGGGGGGCCTCCCGTTGGCGCCCGTGGGCGAGAGGACCCTGGCTGGGCCGCGGGGTCTGCCGGTGGGAGGGACGCCCCCGCGCACCCCTCCTCCGGGGACCCCAGCCGCGCAGGTCCGCAGGATCGCGCTGTCCGTCAGCCTGACGCTCTCTTTCCTCCGTTCTGCTCCCGGAAAACACTGACCGTTGTCAGCCGTGGAAGTCACTTCTGGGGGGATGAGCCCCTTCCAAGTGCGAGGCGCTCGTTGTGGCCCGGGGGTCTGATGTGTGTGTGTGTGTCTCCTGCCTGGAGAGGGTGGTGCTCGGAGGAGAAGGAGGAGGACGTCGCGGGGCGCGCTGGGTCAAGTGCGCTGAGGGGAGAGGCAGGCGCCCCTCCAGGTCAGGGAGCCTTTGCGTGGGCTCCGAGCTCCGAGTCCCGGCTCGTCGCTGGCTAACCTCAGCCCTGGGCGTGAGTAGGCCTCCCTCCACTGTGACATCCCAGAGGCAGGGGGCTCCCTGAAGACGCACAGAGAGGTCTCCTGGCCCCCTGGGTCCCAGAGGAGGTCTGACTTGTCTCCCAAAGACAACCACGGCCAGGACCACACCTCTCTGTGGATCAGTGCCAGGTGCGGTGCCCGTGGCGGGGTGGGCGCGGAAGTTCCGGCCACCGGCCTTGGTGAGCTGCACGCCCAGTGGCCAGGCGGCTGTGTGCAGAGAGGCTCTAGAAACCCCTTTCCAGGGACTGGCCTGCCCGGTAGGAGAGAGCCAAGCTGGGAGGGAGGCAGGGAGGCGACCGTCAGCCCTGGACGTCAGACGGTGCCGGTCACAGGCACAAACGCCTGGTCTGGGTCCAAATGGGCCCGACTGGGGAAGACGGGCCTTTTCAGGAGGGGCTACAGCACAGTGGGAGAGAGTGGGTACGTTCCTTCAAATGTCACTCCCGTCCTGAGGTTCGGGGGGTGCAGGCTGCAGGGTGCTGGGGGACACAGCCTCCACTGTGAGCCTCGGGAGCTCGGGGCCGGCCGGGCAGCCCTAGTCGTTGTCCCTCCGGCCCAGCGGCTCCGTGAGGATGCCATGTCCCCGTGAGTGGGTGGGGGGCGGGTGTCTTGCCCTCCAGGAAGGCAGGCAGGCCCCGGCACGGCTGGGATCAGGCTGGGTGAGGGTTGGAGCCCGACAAAACCAGAGGGCCAACCAAAGGGACACCTGGGTGGCTCAGTCACTTAAACATCAGACATCGGCTCAGGTCGTGATCTCACAGAAGGGCCAACCGGGGATGGTTGATTCTAAAGGGGAGGGGACGCTTCTGGACCCGGAGGGCCCAGTGTAACCCCTCAGACCCTGTTTTCCCCCAGCAGGCAGGGGACTGAGGCCCCAACCCCTGCAGCCGGCTGACTGGGCCAACCTCAGTGGGGGGGCCGGCCTCCCAGCCCCCACAGCCGTGCCCCCACCAGCTCTGAGCCCCCCACCCCACGTGCACCAGGCTCCCAGGTACCCTCTGCCCTGCCCAGCCTTCACCCTGGGACTGGGGGGTGAGGACTGGGATGTCCCGTCACTATTTTTCCGGGACAGTATCTGCCTATTTTCATTTTAGAATACGTTTTATTCTCTCACGAGGTAGAGCCTTATTTTACTTACTGGAAGATGTAGTGTCGACTTAGCTTCATGTTTCTACAGAATTGCTTTGGGATTTTCACGTCCGCCTACGGATGTCCCCGTCTGTGGGTGTGTAAACTGGTTCCCAAAGCCTCGTGCGTGAGAATGCGTCCTGAGCCGGGGTCCTCGTGGTTCGAACGTCCTCCCACGTGGGGTCCCACACAGCTCCCGGCGGGCACCCCAACTGGCCTCGCTCTGCACCGGTGGCCCAGGCCGGGGACCCGCACGCCCGCGGGCTGCAGACCTGAGTAGGTGGGAGCGAGAGAGCAGAGTCCCGATCCCTCCCGAGGGGGCAGCTCAGAGGCGTCCAGCCTCCGCCCGAGGCCGCACGTCCTCTGCCACCACGTCAGTCCCTGGGCACGTGGTGGCCTCTGGTCCCAGGGACCTGTTTTGCTCTGGGTCCACACTTGTCACCGTGCACTCCACCCCGTTTCCAGGCCCCGGGGATTCTCCTCACTTGCTTCCCTGGGCAGCTGTGCATTTAAAATTCAGTGATCTCGGGGCGCCTGGGGGGCTCAGTCTGCAAGTGCCCGACTTTGGCTCAGGTAACGATCTCCCCGTCTGTGGGTTTGGGCCCTGCGTCGGGCTCTGTGCTGACAGCTGGGAGCCTGGAACCTGCTTCAGTTTCTGTGTCTCCCTCTCTCTCTGCTCCTCCCCTGCTCACTCTCTCTCTCTGTCTCCCTGTCCCAAAAATAAATTAAAAAAGTTAATAAAAAAATATTCACTGATCTTCACCTGACACACCCATGTGTTTGGAGTGGCAGGGGAAGATCCAACACTTACCCCATCTTCTGACTCGACCTTGGAATCTAAGCAAGTTATTTAAATACATAAAAATCGCCTTCAGGGACATGTAGGCAGATACGTAATTAACACACAAAAATCCGTTGCCTTCCTATGTACCACCAAAAGACCACTCAGAAGATAAGAGGAAAGAGAAAATCTCTCTCAAAACACCTAAGATAACTGAGGACGTGACATTCTTGCGAATAAACTTGATAAGCCATTGCGAAATCCATGTGGGGAACCTTTCGGACGCATTTGAAAGCCTGCCAGGGAGGCCTGAGCCGATGAGAGGAGGAAGGGAGGTTGGCAGCCTCACCCCAGGTACCACGGGAGTTTAGCCCAGACCCGACGCTCACGCCAGCAAGTGTCTGTCACAGCCTCGCATTCGGTCGTAAGGTTCCCGTGGACGGGCAACGTGCCACAATAGTGAGGAAGTCCCCGAAAGACACGAGCAAGGAGGCAAAGGAGCAGCAGGGCCCGTGAGGTCGGCAAGCGAGTCATAAAGTGTCTGCGGCTGAGCAGTTCCGGGGCGCGGCTGGACAGACGGACCGGGCAGGTGCAGGGAACGTGCACTTCGTTTACGATAAAGGCAGCATCTCGTCCCGTCAAGGCCAAAGCACGTGACGTGAAGGCGACTGAGAAGCCATTTGGAAATACGTAAAATTGGACCCTTATCTTACTCTAAACAGCGGCAAACAAACAGACCACAAAATACCAAATGGGCTGGGGGTCTAGATGGAAAGAAATTAAAACGAGGTCTCCAGCATGCCAGGACACCTTCCAGCTGTGACCCAAATAAAGATGCAATTAAACCAAGAAAGAGTAATGGCATCCACGGCATGCGGATCTTCGCACGGCCACCCTCACCCCCGAAACCCGTGGCCGAAAGCAAGGGCAAACCGCAAAGCTGCCCTTCTTCCAGTTTAAGGGCCGACAACCTACCTCACAGGACGTTTCACACACCCACGGAGAACGAAGGCCCAGACACAGGACAGGAAAACGGGCAAACGCCCGGAAAACACGTTTCCCTGGGACACATGTGCAAGCTCGCGGTAACGTTCCGCGTGGCCGTCTGGGCACAGTTGCAGCCCCGTGGTGGGGAGCTGGACAACACGTGGCACGGCTACCCTCTAGAAGTTTCGCTGAGCTGCACAGACAGGAGGAAGCGCAAGCACAGGACGGTGGCGGCTACGGGAGGACGCGAGAGTCCCCAGCGGCGGTGGGTGGAGCCGTGGCCTCTGCGAGGCTGTCCACGTCCTGACCCCCAGGGCCTGTGAAGGGGGCCCTGGGTGGAAGAAGGGGCCTTTGCTGATGT